ACACTAGTGGATACCACAAAATCTTATGTCATGATGATCGATGAAAATTGAGGATTTTATAAAAGGAATAACATGCAAGCTTTGAGTTCCATTGGCAAGGTTTAAACTTTTGAGAAATGCTTCACAACCTTGAAAACAAAAACTCTTTCATTTTGCATATCCTTGCACATTTAATATTTTGTAATAGACTAGTAGTGTATGGATGTTTGTTTATTAGGTTCTTATTTTTTAGTGTAGATGTAGTACTTAAACGACAAATGTGTTTTAATGTTTTGAAGTAATATTTATGTACCAAAGTGTGGTATGTGCAAATTTAAGAAAAAAAATATATTTGTATTAACGGGTTGGGTGGGTAAAGTGACCCGACCTGTTAAGGACCCGTTAAGATAACGGGTGTGACATGACATGACCCGTTAAGATAACAGGTGTTACACGAAAACAACACGAACACAACAGATACGACCTGTTTGCCAAGCCTAATAGCGGGTTAAGTGTAAAATGACGCCATTTGCACTTAATTACGATTTGATTTCTGGACCACTAAAATTCAAACCGACCAATAACTTTTGGGTCAGTTCGGTTTCTTTAGTTTTGATTTGTTTTTTTTTATTTAAAGTTTTTCGTTTTAGTTTGGTAAACAATTTATTTCTTTTTGGTTTTTCGAACCCACTCCAACATAACTCAATTCTTTGAGTACATTATGTTCACTCCTCTCATGTTTCGAGATGCCAATTTCGTTGCAATGCTATACTACATTATGTCATTTTCTTAATTATTCTAAAATTTGGCCAGCTCTTTTATTCAAAATGATATTTGAAATTCGCATAACTTTTAACTTCGGTTTATAAAAATAAAAATCAATAGAACTAGTACTTGAGTTTGTCCACCGTAAATCATTTTGGTCCTGTGAAAATTTGTCAACATCCTCGTTAAATTGTCATGAATAACCATGTGACCACATTTTTAAGCATATTTTTGTTAAACCAATCCCTCCAATTAACGAGGATATTGAGAAACAAAAATGATTTACGGTAGACAAATTCAGATACCACATCAATCAATTTTCATTATCAATGACAAAGTAAAAAATTATAACAATTTCAAAGGTCATTTTGGCTGAAAAAATCATTGGGGTGAGGGCCCCTTCTTGCCCGAGAAGTTCGGTGTTGTAATTTCCCTTTTCATATTAAAAATCTGAAGAAAAATTCACTTACTACTATGGTCTAGTGGTATTCATCTCTACTTGTAAGTGAGATATCTTCTGTCTTAGATTCGATTCTCACCAAATGCGAGTTTAAACCATATTATTGCTACGTAATTGTGAGGCTAAACCCACCAATTCCTTCTTAGTATAGATAATATAGTTTTTTTTTTTAAAAAAAATTGAAGTGAAAAAAAAAAAAATAAAACCAAGAACAGCATGCGTTTTTTTTTTGTTTTTGAAATTTTTGTTTTTCCTTAGCGCTGCGGACCAGCCTGGCGGAATCTCCTAGAAGAAAGTCCTTCGAGCTGGATTTCCTGCAGCCATTTCCTCCAACCAACATCCCCTGCCCCCCTTTCAAACTCTTTTCAGTATAAATTTTCAATCAGGTAAAGATTTTCTTGGATTCCTTCCGGTTTGCTTTTACCTTGAAATCCCACTGTAGGTCTTCTTGTATGGGACTGAATTGAACTTATTCCCAAACTGGGTTTGCTCTGCCTTAAAGTTTTTTCATCTTGTGATAACCATAAAATTTGCAGCCTTTAGAATATTGGGTAGTTCTGTTTTGGTAAAATATCTGATGGGTTGCCCTTGATTCTATCTGGGTTTGCTTGATTTTTTCAGATGAAGTGTTGGGTCTGCTAATTGGTTCCAGGAGTAAGGTGGCACTGACAAGCTTTTGATTGGTGATTAAAGGTTGGAGCTTTACTCCAATCAGGTAAGTCTCTTCTTTGAAATGCAATTTCCGGCATATTGATATCTGGTGAGGTTGATTAATCTTATGGATTTTCCCCGTTTAATCGTGTTAGGATATAATTCCCAGCAGGATGATTCTTCTTTCGTTTGTACAATTCATAAAAGAACAATATATGACCTAGATATTGAAATAATTAAAACAAGAGTATAAGATTGAGCTTTCAATTTATAAAAATGGATGCCGATGAGTGCTATGTATGGGCAGAACTAGAAAAGGAAATGCCATTATGCATACCCTTGAAAAAGGCAAATCAAAGTGGTTACATTCTTAGAGAATAGCACTTATTCCTGAGGATATATAGGTTAGCTTTAGTTCAAAGAATTCTATTTTCAGCGGTTGTGCGTGCATGTGTCTGTTTGTTCTGAATTCATTTGGGATCAAAGATGACCTTCCAGTTGTAAATTGTGTTAGATGTTAGGCCTTGTGGTTGTAGGAATTTAGGAACTTTAGTATTTAGTTTGCTCCAAGAATTCTAGAGTTCGTAGTTGATACCTTGTTGGTTATGAGCTTACTGTTTCCATAATTACACTAAAAGATGATTTAATAGGAGGATTTGGGTAATATTTCAGAGCAATAGCTCCATAGGTTTGGTTTTGCTTTCTTAATGTTGAGGCTTTCATTGTTGGTAATGAATATTATAATAAAATATAAAAGGGAAAATAGCAGGATATACAATGTGATGCAGTTAGCTAGAAGATTGCATATGGAAGTTTTGTGTAGATTTTCTTGTAGTGTATTACTTATTGATATTGTTTGGTTTGGTGTACTTGTGTGTTTGTTTGAGTAATGTGTGTGAGTGTATGTGCTTTTTCACGATCCCTGTATAACTCTACAAACTTACCATCATTTTTTCTGTATCCTTCATTCTTTCTATTGCGATCTGCTCCTGTTAGCTCTATGGCAACCACTGATCCAATGTCTAATCTAGTTTCTTCTATATCTATTATATAAAGAATTGCTTTACTGTATCTCAAAAAAAGAACAAAAAGTAAAGACTTTATTGAACTAAAGGCACTAATTTCCCTTTCTTAACTGCACAAGAGATTTCTAATTGAACTGAAGTTTCCTCAAGGCTGTAACTAGGCCTTTTTGTACTTATTTTTTAATGAATATGTGTTGTTATTCGTTAAAGTGTACATTTGAGGCAATGCCTACTGCACATCAAATAATTTTTGTCTAAAACATCACAGATAAATACTTTTACCTGGGCAATGTAAGAAGCTTGTGACAGATTTGCTTGACACTTTTTAGCTGAGTAAGGGAAAAACGTTTTGATCATCAGCTTTAACAATGATTTGTTTTTGAAATTTTGTATGTAACATTTATAGTTAGGGCTAGCTCATGAAGGTGGCCTCTATCCTCCTTCAGTCCTTCATTTGAGAAAGAGACATTTTATTGCAAATAAATGGAAAGGAGACCACTACAAAAACAGAAAAACCAAAATGAAGAAAACCAACTAAGAGGCTCTCCCACAACAAAACTAAAGAGATAACGGCTTGCCAGTCAAGCCAAATAACTGAAAGAGACATGCACCTTCAGTCCTGTAGACAAAAATTATGAAGTTTAACCACCTCTTAAATAGTTGGGCCACATCAGACACTTCATTGCTGGAACCTTATTCCAATTCATTCAATTTTTCTCTGTATGATTTTCTGAGTTTTCATTGACTGTACAGTTGCACGAGTTGTCTTTTCAAAATTTGCGCCTTCTGGACCTGTCCTGGTGATTTCATTTATTGAATTTTTTATGTAACGAGACTGAAGTTTTGCTCTTCCTCACTATTTCAGAAGCAGTGTCAGTGATGAGTGAAGTCCATCACTGCATCCTTGGAAGACTCTTAGAGGGTGAGAAATAGTTGGTCTATACATTAAAGTGTTGATTTGGGTTAAGTCTGGTGATGAGAAACTTTTCTGAAAAGGGATTGTACTGTTCTTTTCTTTCGTTTTTCACAAAGAAACTTTTAACATGCAGTTGCTTCACTTTTCTTTTTATATGGCATTTGCTTGGATGGGATCTCATAGTGATCTTGGGGTTCTTTCTTAAGTTCGAATTTGTTTTTAAATTTGTTTCTTTCATAAATTAAGATATATGGTCAAAGAAATTTTCACAAGTTTGAAATTGTATTGCTATGGCCAGCGGCCTATTTCCAAGTTTTAGAGATCAACCTAGAAATTTCCTCCAGAAGTTCCTCTGGGGGCATAATTCCCCTCTGTCCCTGGTTTCTTTAGCCAAGTAAACCATAGGTATAATCACCAAAGTTTGTTTAAATTTTTCCCTAATTCTGTTTTCATCCTCGTTTTACTATTCTGATGAGATACATTGAACCATTGGGTTTTTCCTTTAAATCATTTATCCCATTTCCTGAAACTACCCTATCCATCCATAAATCTTTCTGCAACATCATCAGTGTGGCAATCATTAATGGTGCTTACTTTGAAAAGGTCCGGCATCAATCAAACTGCCATTTCAATGTGGTTGGGGAGTGTATATAAATCATATACATATCCATGATTCATGTTTCATGCTATTCAAATGATGCAGATATGTGACTTGTATTTGTTTACTTTAGGCATATCCACTTCTAAATGTAAGATGATGCACATATTATTGTTTATAATTGTAGTTTAGAACATATCTTAGATTTATGTAAAAAAGTTGACCGCTAAATTGTAGATAAGGTATTTGAATTATACCTGAAGTTGCATTCTTGTCCCTGAACTTGCATAAAAGTTGCTATGGTGATCAACCTAATCCCGAGTTGCAACATTTGGTCCTTTCCGTTAGTTTTTCTGTCCTAAACCATTAGACTGCTTGACCCAAAACTAATAATCTATAATTAAATAAAACGAAAACAACAAACATGATTGAACAAGGGTGTGTAAGATGAAAAAAGGGTGTGGTTTTGATACAACGATATTCTACTCTAAGTGGGAGGGATATTATACTGTAAGGGAAGGAGGATTGGGATAGGCCACACAATGTACACCAACCACAAGTGGATTAAGATCATCTCTCTCTCTCTCTCTCTCTCTCTCTCTCTCTAAGTGGGAGGGATATTATACTGGAAGGGAAGGAGGATTGGGATAGGCCACACAATGTACACCAACCACAAGTCTCTGTCCAGCGGTTGCGGAACATGAGTCGTTCTTGACATTACAGAGGGTTATCATGTGGTTTGGCAGGTTAGTAATAATAAAGATGGACCGCGCTCCCCAAAGCTCCAATTCTTCCTCCCCAATCCCCACACAATCTGCATGCAATCCTTCCCACACCTACCTGCCCCCTTTCATTTTGTTTTTAACTTTTGTTATTATTTTATGATATTCATTTTTCCTATTATTTTTATTTATTTTTATAAATTGTAAGTTGAAATTCCTAATTTACCCCAATATTTAAAAGAAATAAATGGAGTTTTTAGTAAGGACTAAAGGTGCAACTCGGGGTCCTATTCGAGGACATGAACTACTATTATTCGAGTTCAAGGGCGAAAATGCAACTCGGGTATAACTCAGGTCCATTGCTACAATTAAGACAAAAAATTTAGCATGCAATTATAGAAGGTGTGGAAGTGAAAATTGATCACGTCCTAAAGTTTGTTATATTGAGAATTAAAAAATTGCCTTTGATGTTTCAACCCTAAATCAGTGCATCAACTTAATATATTTTTGTGTATTGATTAGTTAAGTTGCAAAAATAGGAGAGGAGTATAATATTACCCTAAATTTGGTTTTCAGCTTCTTATTCTTTTGCCTTCCGATGAGTTGGAACTGGAAAAGAAGTTGTACATGACCATGGTAAATGATGCGGTTAAAATATGTTTGTTGTGTTATAATGTATAAGATATCCATAAGTTTCAGTTTGGTGTGGTTCCATTTAAAGTGAAATAATTATATAAAGCTGATAGGATTTTGACTGTGCAATTTAGGATTTCTAGTTTTCTTTGCAACTATATCAGATTAGATTTCTTTAGTATCAGAAAGTGAAAATTGAATAATATACATGGGTCCCTTAGCCATTCTGTTGTTTGTCCTGGACTTTAACATGTTGCAGTAAATGGTAGAATTTTCGGGCTTTCTTCTTGGTCTGCAATTAGACTCCTATGTTTGCATGTTCATGCACTGCTAGCGTATCTGTGAGTCTCATGGAAGTATACCACTTTCTTTCAGGTCATTAGTTATATAATCTTCATCTGTTGATGATCTTGTGCCTGCTAGTTCCCGTTCCAACATGAACAACTCATTTGGTGATGATTATGTAAGTCTTCGGAACATTAGTGATTTTATTGTCTACACAAACAAAATAGGGCAACCTTAACACTTTGTGTGCAGGATGAAGCAACTGTTGCAGGATTTGAAGTTTTAAGATCACCCGATGCAAGTTACAACAATGTGTACCCAGGGAATGAAGACGAGGCCCAGGATCCACCTCTTGTCCCTCCACAGCTGCAACAGACGTTACTTAGTTACCCAGCAAGTGCAGACACTACGGGAACTATTCCCTTACCACAAAACGTGACACTCAACCATCTTTACATTGAGAACCGGGAGACCCCACGATCTGTGGTCGCACTTGGGTTCACTCATCGCATTCGTTCAAAATTTGTTACAGTTGTGCTATACAAACCAGTTCAAAGAAGGGGCACTACCAGCAGTTAGGAATCGAACATTAGGAGGATACACCTAAATTAGCGGTGAAAGATACTTATTTCCTCACAGAAACTTATGAACTTAGGTTTGATTTCTGCCTGAGTTCTTTGTAGACTTCATATATTCTTCAGGGTAGACTTGGTATACTGTGGAGTTGGCTGGTTAGGTTATGATCCCATGTGAGAATTGTTTATTTGAAATGATTGGGATCATTTGATTGCATTTGTGAATATAAAATGCCTGCTTTATACAGATAAGGAAGCCTTCTCCAATGCACATCATGTGGTTGATGTATGCAACTCTTGCAGAAACATGCATTCAATTATTCGTAATATATATGTATTTGACCTAAAACTAGAAGCTTATCTCCCAAGCATATAATTCATTTGTTTTATTTTGTGCTCCAATTATTTTGGTAATGTGAGTGGTCAACTCCTACTGTCACTACTTATCCTTGCCAAATGGGGGAAGTAAGAGGATTATTGTAATACATTATGGATGGGTTTTTAAATAATATTCTAAACTACTAAAAGCTACGGGATGAGATTCAAATTTGGGTGTGTGCAATTGTTTGCACTCCGTCCTACCCTGTGTATGAGTGCTCTTTTGTAGTGTATATTCTGTATTTTTATTAGATATGAATATTTTGAGATGCATTTGGAAAACTAATGAAAAAGGCTTAAAAACTTCGAGTTTTAACGATAAGGACAAAATAAAGGGAAAAGTGAATAATATCAGGTTTGACTTTTTAGTGTTAAAATGTGGTTTTTGGTTAAAGTAAACAATACCGTGGGCTTTTCGTTAAAACTCCTTTTTTTTTCTTCAAAACAAACAATATTATCTACATTAAAGAGGAAGAGGTAGATTTGGCCTCACAATGAGGATTAAATTTGCCGTTAGTGAGAATTGAATCTAAGATCTTTCACTTACAAGCGAAAATGAACCATTTCTCGATTTATGCGTGTCATCAGGGTTTAGAAATGCACAAACTGGTTGGTCATTCAAACTATCCAAATAAAATCAATTTATGCGGTTTGGTTGGTTTTGGTTTTTGACAATAACAGTGTTATATTGGACCGAATTGAACCAAACCGCGTACTACTAAGTTTAGGATGGTGATTTCACTCTCTGATTTCCTTCACTCTTCTCCCCATTGATTTACCTTCCAAAAAAATTAGATCCGATGGTAAACGGAATACTATTCAAGTTTGGACTGAATTGAACCAAACTGTATATACTATTTAAACTCGATAAGGATCGATAACAACGATAAGTTAGAATTGTTGATCTGAATACCAACCGGATTCGATAATTTGATTAAGGGTGGTGCTATATACACAAAATTCATGCACCAAACGACTTTGCACATTCCATACGATATAATTTTTTATACAATTATTTAACTTAAATTAAAATACAAATTTGTTTGGTGCCACATCTGTGTAGCAAAAAATAATCACAAAGCGACACGTGGATTTTTGGGTGAAGATGACAAATTTACCCTCGAGGCATACCGGGTCTCCTACACACGAGCAGTGGAGAATCATCCATCAACCAAATCGGGAGTACCCAAAATAGGTAACAAGTTCAAATTTGTCTCATCCATCCTCATTCCATAACCTCCAAAAACCTCCCAAAACATTTCTTTTATCATGATAATTAGCCAATTAATATATTTATATCTAATTAATATATTAATTGCTAATTGAATCACCAAATAACACCCCAAAACACACTTAAAGGCCGGCCACACCCCATTTCCTATATATATGACCCTATTTCTTCTAAAAAGCTACGTCTAATACTCTTGCAAAACTCCCAAAAAAAACTCTCCAAATACTTTTCTATCTAAATTCTAACTTTGGCATCGGAGGTTCTTCGGCCAAAGCCCCCCCATTCATCGTGAGCGCGTGAGGCTCTTGGCCTTGACCTAAGGTGTTAATTGTTTTGTAAGTGCAATTTTGTCTAAGAAGAAGAAGGCGGAAATTTGCATCCACAACATCATTTGGTGAATAAATTTATTTAGTGTGTCTAACATTATACAAAATATAATAAAGGCTAAACCTTTATATAATTCCCTGTTACTTATATTCAAATCCTAAACTATTATCCACCACTATGAATACCACAAGAACTCGATAATTCAATTTGTCGATACACAAAAATTGGGTTGACTTTAGTACAATGCATAGTGTCATGTAGTGACCTTCGCAAAGGTGCTTTAGTCACATAGCTAGTGAAGATAATAGAGATGTAGACAAAGGGTAGTGAAGATAATATATGAAAGGCTAAACCTAGATCCGCTTTTCATGTCATATGTTTGAAGATATATAGATAGAAATGGCATTATGTGTTTCGTAGTTTTATTCAAGAAATACATATCAATTCGGATGAAGTGGAATTAACAATTGGATTTATCTAGATCGAAGACCAACCAAGGCATTCTTATCGTTCACTTGTAGGATCTGACCAATACATGCATGGAGTACTTATCATAGAGAGTTCCTTCCACAATACTAAAAGCTCTTATAATATGGCATGGCCAGCAGACACAATTGCTTTTTCGCATCTCTTAAACAAACAATAAAGGCCACAATTACAGGTCCCTCCAACGCATGGCCAACAAATTCCAATTACAAAATACCAAGTCGTGTTGTCGAAAGCCCTCAAAAAACAATACTCAAAGAAGTCTATGAGCAATTGAAAGGTGAAGTATTGCATAATAAATCATATTCTATGTGTCTTCATCAAACAGTTCGAGCAAGCGGTCGATAAATGAGAAAATAAAAGCCTACAGAATGTGATCAGAAGAGATGAAACTTTTGACCTGTCATCTGGGAATTATAAGTAGGAGTTTCGTGGGCCAAAGTGTTCAACAATACACAATTTGATAATGGTTAAGCTTATATAACGAGTAAGGCAACTTAATAAAAGATATTACTTATGTGATGAATTGTAATGGATGTCAAAGGTCATCCATCTCGTTAGCAAGAGATTTTTCAGATCATCACACGAGGTGGTACACCACGTGTTCCTATATAAATGGTAGGTTATGTGTGTTAAAAGGTTAATAACTTAAAAATTAAAAATTTCCACCACTTGCATAAAAACACGTGATGTACCATTCATATTCCCGTTACAACTAAAAATTTCTCCTCAGTAGCCCTTGACTGACTTGCAAATTGCAGTACATGTATGTTTTTTTTTTACTTAAAAGGATCTACATTTTGGCCACCTTAAACTTGCAAGTTGCAATAAATTACTATAAATTAACATGCCACGTGTCATTTGTTATTGATGTATATACACACATGCGCTATATAAACATTTATGTTTTTACTTTGTTTAACATATTATTTTGTCAAATTATAAGGCTTGCACAAGTATTAAACTATATACAAATCAATTAGTCAGATAACTACAAAAAATAACTTTGATTTCATTTACATTGGTGACACAGAATTAGGCAAGGCATTATCAGAGGCTAATAACTAGCATGCACGCGATTATATGTACGCCTTATTGGATTAACAGTTTAGCAATATATTTTAACACAATATTTGGCATGAAAATATTTTGCCCCTGTACGCAAGGGAAAATCTTGAAATGTCATATGAGTTTAAACATTTTTTTAGTTTATCGTATGAACTAAAATTTAGAGTGATTTGTCATGTCAAATTTTTGAAATCATTTTATGATCTCATCCTAACTTCATTAAATTTTCCACCAAAATAAGTCATGTGGCTTGCACATAACTTGTTTTCAAGGTTATTTTGAACATTTCAACTTTGCACTACCCTTTAAGGTTTTTTCGTGTTAAATTCACCCTTTTGAGCTTGTGCCTTTTGTTCATGTCTCATGATGGAATCGGTGCGATTTATCATGATGTAACTGGTAGCTTTGTGCGCCAAGTACCTATTGTACCGGACAGTATTTGTTTCCTTTGCAATTTATTTGAGGAGTCGACACTACCTGTATGCAAAGAGTGTCCCCTTAACTGTTTTGTTGGCAATTTTGTGCGAAATGTCTCTTATGTGGCGGATTATGAAGTGATTGAATTTCTAGTTGTCGGGATTAAAGTTCTTTTAATTGTAAAAGATTTGCCGATATGGTGCCAATTAGATTGGCCAGACCTTAAGATTTGACTACAGTACTTACATGTATTGGTACAATCACTAATTTGATGGTCAAATCATAAGCATTGTAGCGAATCTGAGATTAGCCTACACACCTTGGGTGAGGGAAGCACTCCCTAAATAAAACGTCTAAATGATTCTTTTATTTACAGCTAATGGTGACCAGGAACCATCGATCCTTCGAGGCGTCGACTCAAGTCGGGTTGAAAACACATAATGAGTTTATCATGGATGATAATACGAATAAAACTTGTACCAATTCGTATGCCATCTTCTTTATATAGATTGACATTCACATAGAAGCAGTTCTTTCTGATTATTCGAGTTTTCCACTTGGACCAATTGGTGCATGTTGATCCTTCCCTTTGTTGGCTAAACATGGGAAGGTGAGGTGTTTGGTGAAGTTGGAGCAGAGGCAACCCGCCTACCACGGTCAGACCTACTGTTCTCTGCGAACTTTAAACTCTGTCGGTGCAACCCTTCTGCTTCTCCGCCTCACTCCACTCAGCTGCATAGTAAAACTCTTCTGTCGATTTCTCGACATCTTTGGAAGCTGGAAGGAACATGCTTCTGATGCGTAAAATAACTAAACACACAAATTAAACCCTCTTTTTATCAATTTAGTAAAGTATGTAAGTAGGGATCGTTCTAGGCCGGGGATTAGGAGGGATTGCTAAATCACTTGGAAACTAACTTGAAAACGTAAAAACAAAGTTTAAAACACTAACTAGACTCAAAGAATGCAAAACTATATTTTAAAACACTAAAACAAACCAAAAGACTCAAAACAGCCCCTAAACACTCAAAACTACCTTAAACACACAATCTTGGCAGTTTTGGGACTCTAACACAAACTTGGACGAATTTTGGTTTTCTAATGAACTAAAACACTTAAAAACATAATCTAAGACAAGTTTTAATTAATATGACTCAAAGAAATAAGATGGGGTTGATTTTGGACGAAAATAATTAAATTAAGACAAGAACAAAGTAAACAAATTCTTAGACAAATTTAAGTGAATCAAAACAGATTGTAAAATGAATTTGAATGAAACTTATGGATGGAAGGCTAGCTAGGAGGTTCTTCTCCACACATGTCACACTTGCATACAAAACGATTTCCAGTTGCTTTTCGATAAGCTATGAATACTCAACTGGATGTAATCAAATCATATTACAAATATATCCATGGCTTTGAATTAACCTCTAGCCAAAATAAATTTAGTTACACATTATTAAAACAGAAATAAAATATAAGTTTGGAAAGATTT